CTCTCTCTCTCTCTCCTCGTCTCTCCTCTCTCTCTCTCTCTCTCTCTCTCGATGTTTGGTCACCTCGAAAGAAAGAGAGTTGCGAAGTGACAGCTAATAGAAACTCTGTGTCAGGTCCGAAATGACAGCTTCCTTCTGTGGATGGTTTGTTCCGCGCATAAAAGACAACCCAATAAAAACGGTCGCTCTTTCCATTCAAATCAGCAAGGAAAGTAATCAGTTTGTCTTTCGGCGCCGGTAGCTGTCTGAAACCTGTGCCTTGTTTTGCGACTCTTTGCCAGTCTCCACCAAACGACAGGTCGGGACAACGCGAAAGACAGCAACACGCATTTGGTGCGTACATCCGCAGCGACTAAGCACGGCCGCATGGGTCACTTCCTCGCGTGCAATCACTGAATCATGCGAGAGTCCTGACCCGTCAACCGGAACTGCATCGACGCATTCCTCGCGGACGCCTCACCGACCAGTGACGACGGACGTCCTTAACTGTACCTTCTGAGTCATCAGCACCAGTTCCGAGCCCGCCCGGGAGTGCATGCAGACGATAGGGCAGGCGCGTCACATCGCATCACGTGACAGACTCATCAGACCGGACACCGTCAGGGCCCGCGCCTCGGCCGCTGTCACGCCGCCGGCCGCAGGCCACGTCCACTCACTCCCGTCCGAATTATGGCTTGCCGCCCAGCAAACGCATCACGACGCTGGTCACGCGCTCTCCGTCGAGGCGGCGGCGTCGATATCGACACCGCGCCACCCGCCACCAGCCGGCGGCCTCCGGCGCGCGGCCGGCCCGCATGGGGCGTCTCGGTTCCGCATGCGGTCACAAGGTCGCCGCGTCGACAAAAACCGGCCACGCCGCGGCGACGACGGCAGCGCGCCCGCCCCCGGCCGGCCGACTGGTAATTGTTAACGCTGCACGTGGCTGAGCGTGGCCGGCGGATCGCGGCAACGGCTGATGCAACGGAGAGGCGACGCGGGTCACGGGGACCGGCACGGCGATGGCCTGGAACGACTGCGAATGCCGGGGGCTACGCTGTGGTGATGGCAAACGGCTGGGCGACAGGAAAGCCAGCGGTGCGAGCGAGCAGCGCCATGGACACGGTGCAGGGCCAGGCAAGGTGGTGACTGTCGGAGACGTCGACTTCCGTGCGGCGCCGGCGCCGGTGAAAGCGTCGTCTTCCTGAGCGGTACCAATGGTGGACTGGCCGCCCAGCCTCCGGGGGCGGTGCTGGGGTATGAACGGGTCGACGGTCATGGCTTACAGACAGCTGACGGCTCTGGGCGGGTCCCAGCCGGCCATTTCTCAGTCAGCCATTCCTGCTAACGGGTGCGGAGCCAGAAGGCAGCCAGGCATATAATTAGTACAGCCAATGCTAATTTATCTGTGACTGCGAACACAAGTCAAGAACTGCCTATTGCCACCGCCGAGTCAAACAGCTGGTAACGGAGATGAGCAACTGTTCTCCACCGGGCCGTTACATCAAACGTCCTGCGTCTCCGTCTGAGCGACAAACGCTAGTCGGAGTTCCGAGCAGCCTTGCCAACGGTCGGTTGACACATGTCCGCGCGACAGCGACTAGCTCAGTGTTCGACGGGCGCAGCAACAGTCTGCCGACAGCCCCAGCGAGGCGGAAGTGGGGCTCAACGTACCAAGCCGGCGTAAAATTGATGTTCGAGGATGCTGAGCCGAGTCGGAGGGGATGAACGACGCTGGTTGGCCAGGGAGGCACAATGAAGCGCTTCTGCTGACAAGCGAGACTCACTTGGCTCTTACTCCAGCCAGCACGCGACGGATGGTTTTCTTTTTCAACGAAGTTGCAGCGGGTGCACGCAAAGGACAAACCACGCGAGGTTCACGCAGCTCCCGACTGTTTCGATCCGAGACGGGACGGTGTCATCCGGCCGGACCGCCGGAGGCGAGAGGTCACCGTCCGAGCAGCGGCGATAACGACCGCTGGGCGGCCGTCGGAGCCGTTCCAGCCCACCGCCTCCCACACCGCATCCGGATCAATACCCGCTTAGCGCTCCGCCGGAGAACAGCGGTTGGGAGGTCCGGCGCGATGACCCCGCTGACCCCAGGCGACGGCGGCGGCGGCGGCGCCGTTTAACACGCCCTCAGGCCGCGCGAGATCGATGCGACACCGCCCGGGGCGCCGGCCGCCCGCGAGGGTGTGGCTGCGGCCGGGGCGGCCCGCGAGCGCTGCGTCCGCACCCCGAGCGAGGCGCGACAAGCGAGCCGCGCGAGATCTTTACAAAATCCGCTGCCGGGAGGGGACGAGCCGTCGGCGAGTATTGATCGCCGACTCCCTCGATGCGCGGCCGACTCGGCAATCGATGCCGTCCGTGACTCACTGCACACTCCAGCCGGCTTCGTCCCGACTCGCCTGCCGCAAAAACATGACCGACCGCCGGCCGCATGCGGTAAGACCTGTTTGCGCGACTGTACAGATCCGGAGAAAGTTTTCGCGGCGGCCGGCGAGCGCGTCTGGCCGCCGGCCTGGTGCCGTTAGCGCCCGCCGGCCGCCTGTCTTGAGAACGTGTCTGCTTCGGTCTGTCTGCAGATAACTGGTTAGCGGATACCGATCCGCCCGTCTGTCTGGAGATATCTGGCCACGAGTTCATTCGTATGTCTGCTGACAAATGGCCTCTGTCTCGTCCGCCTGCCGGCGGTCTGCTGACGACGAATGGAGCGACCAAGGCATTGTTAGCGATCTAACGTGATCAGTGACCCATGTGGCCAGGCTCGTTTTGGATGTGGTAGTGTGTCATATGCTATGCGTGTTTACACTGCATCTCGGTGGGTACGGCATCATGTTTTATTTTCCTAGACGAAAGAACGGGTCTTAATCTTCCCAGTGCTCTCACCCAATATCTGCTGTTGAAATTATGTAAAGCACTTGGTTGAGTGGTTGGCCATTTACATCGCTTAAAGCAGAGTAAAAGATTGGGTACGTAAGTGATCAGGATACACAGTGGCCTGTAATGGGAGTACCTCTCAGCTGATTTGAATCTCCTTCATTATTACCGGCCTGCCCCCAATAGCCTGGGGGTGCTGTACCAACACTATTGCCCCAGCAGCCACCAATGTCCATAATCGTACCGATTACCTGTCAGAATAAATGAAAAACAATCGGCGCTGACCTATCCGCGCATATCCGAGCAGCGCTCCGCCCAGCCTTGCGAAAGGCTGCCATTTCCTATGCATCGCGAGATCAGAACACGGCGCAGGTGCGGGTGGCGCGCTCCGGCAGTCACCGGCGTCCTCCGCACGCCCGGCGCCGGCTGCGCTGGACACAGGCGTAGATACGGGACGTACCTTGGTGTGGCTGGGGCTCCAGCTGCGTCTGTAGCGACCGGAGGTGCCGTGTGGCTGGGCCGTCATCTTGGCCCCCTTGGCCGTGTCGTAGACGCCCGGCAGGATCCGCAGACGGTTACCCGGGCAGATGCCCTGAGGGGCGACGGGTCACCGGGGTCAAGTCGGGTCAGGTCAGGTCACGGCGGCCGTGAGCCCATTCAAACCCTGGACAGGCGGTTAATTGGTGTCTAAGGGCGCGCCGACTGATAAGGTCATTTCGCGCCCTTTGTGCTCACCTACCGCGTGAGTAGAAAGCCAACACGCAACCTGTGGAGGATCTTCTCTTCCCTTCTCACTTTGCGATAGCAAAATGGTCACGAATCCAACTGGGGCTTTATGGCCTTGAATTTATTGCTTCCTGTCTTATCCCAGCAGTGCTGCCATTTGCTGCGCAGGAATGCCCTGATTGCTGGGTAAAAGCACGGGTAACAGTCTCTGGCAGGGATTGGTAAATGGCGCGTACATTGCGGTTGCATTGCTAGCTTCACAGCAGTGCCAGCCAGATCGGTTCCAGCGATTCCAAAGTGGCTGGAAATCCATCACAGGGTGACCCTCTTTCTCAACCCGATCCAATGCTGCCAGATGTGTTAAAATGTTCAATATGAGTAAAAATTCCCAAGACCAGCAAGGGTACTCAGCGAGTCCGTTAAAACAGGGTGTAACACCCCTTCACTGGCTTCGACGTGGGGAAGCGCCTTGGTAATAGCCATTAGTTGGGCGCAAAGCGACACAGTTATTGGCTCAAACGCCAGGCTGGGAACTGACTCAACCTTCCCGCCCATGTTCTGATGGCTCTCTTGATGACGATTCGTTTTATTACAGCTCACTTGGAATCGGGATGGCCATTTAACCTTTGTCGTCGTAAGATTTCACTGCGGAACAGGGCCGCATTTGACGTGATTTCAGCGACTGCGTATGAAACGAGTGTCAAAAACAATGACCTCCCGTCTTAACCGGACTTTCCCGGGCAGCCCGCTGTCAGCTGGACCGAGGCGCAGTGACACCGGTTCGAGCTGAGCCATGGGAGGACGCATATGCGAAGGTGAGCAGCTGTTGTGAAGCGTTTCTTACCTTTGTTATGGCGAAATGGCTTACGACCGTTTTTGTGTTTCCGTTCGTAAAAACAGATCTGGGAGCGTCACAATATTTGTATCCGCCGCTTGTAGCCGTTTGCTTTTTTAGCCACTGCTGGCGCGAACGGTCAGTGGCGTATACGTTCGGCGGAGGCTTGTTTTAACGTCACATGACCCTCGTTCAGTCCAATACTCTCAGGGATCCGCCTTCAGTTGTACGGGCTGGCGGGAAAAGCTAGCAGAGTTCCTCTGAACAACCAACCACCTGACGCATTATGTGGGCTGAACGCCCATCCCTGCTCTGGATCCCGCCCACATTGATGCCCCCTGATGCGGCGCGCATAGTGGATGCGCGGCATAATCACATGTCCAGAAGGATGAAATAAACCCCCGCATTACATACTAAATGCCGGCCATGGGGTAATTTCTGGTCTCGCCTGCGAAATAATGACGGCGCCATGGAAACGGCGAGTGTTTTATTCTGACCTTCATTTAACCATTTGGCGTGCCTGCGCGAGAGACGTGCATGTTAATTAGACACGATATCACCCGCCCGTGGGCAGCAGGTGTGTGTTTAGTCAAATGGGCAGTGTCACGTGATCCCAGCTCTTGCTGAAGGACGAGTCTTACTGCTAGGCAGCTTACGCTTATCTTGCGGGCATTGCCAAGCCTTGTCTCGCGCGGTTAAAACACCGGGCCTCTCGTAATTGTATTTCAAAACGCAATCTAAGGCTGAAACAGATTCTTTGCAGCGCTCAGTGCGGTAGCCCCACATCCCTTCAGTCTCACTGACCTGGAGTTCCGCCGACATGTCATCCCCACAGGGAGCAGAGCCACGGCATCGACCTGTCATCCCCGCAAGGGGCAGAGCCCCCCCCCCCCCCCTCCCCACTGACCTGCCGTCCCCGCAGGGAGCAGAGCCACCGCACTGACCTGCCGTCCCTGCAGGGAGCAGAGCCACCCCACTGACCTGCCGTCCCCGCAGGGAGCAGAGCCACCATCCCTCCAGGCCGCCAGTGTTCTGCTCCAGCACGGTGAGGGTGTCGCCGCGCCGGAACGCCAACTCGTCCGGCGTCTCTGCCAGGTTGTCGTACAGCGCGTGTGCCACGCATTTCTGCAAGGGAGAAAGCCGCGTGAGGGGAGAGTGCAGAGAGGTGTTTCGACATCTTTTTCTTTCTCCATTTTTAGAGGAGAGGTTATTTTAAATGTTGCACGGGGTACGTACGTCTCCGCACAATCCTTTACTGGGGCACTTCCGATCACAGCCGTCCCATCTTAGCCTCCGAAGGCCACGGTGTCAGCCGGGAATCGAACCCCGACCTCCCGCACGCAAACCGGGTGCGCCCCCAACCGAGCTGTTCCGTCCTCGGAGCTGGGGTCACCGCCGCTGGTCAAAGGTCACGGCGGTGCTATCGATACGGCCCGCCGCGAGACGGACGTGATGCTGTTGTCTGACTGGCGGGCCAGGCACCGGACGGCACGTGACCCTCGTGACCGATCTCACCGATATGACCTCGTGAGGTCGCGCGACAGGCCGATTGCTGCACAGGATGAGATACTGGCGGCTTGGGTGCGGCGTCTGGCAGATGCTCAATACAAGGGAGTATTCTACGCGTGTGCTGGGACACAGCTTGCGAATGTGGACAGAAGATTCCAGCACAGACCCCCGACTATGGGCACGGTGCTGCGGTCAGAACTGGCAGCTAATTCCAATGCATCTCCATAAATGGGGATATGCTGAACTAGAGCACTCCTTCCAAGCATAGAGATAGTATTGTATCACTTCAGAGGATCACAGCATGATTAGAAATATCCATGAGCCACGAAACGAGGGGTTCGATAGAAGGTTCAAGTGTCTTGGCCTTGAAGATAAACCTGACATAAAGGCCGCGTATCCGGCGGAGTCGGCGTTATGGCGTCGCTTAATGCGCCTTTTAACCTGCACAGCGCGCTTAAATGGGCGATTCTTGGGCATACGCACGTCTCAGCATTGACGTCCGATGAGCTTTAGAGCATAGATACACGACAATGAAGGGAATAATGCGTGCCGCTTGGCATTCCATGTGAAGGTCATGCCCCTTGCAAGGAAATGCGACGCTCGTCGACGGTGGAGGATAATTTCGTCCGTATTTGTTGCTGCTCTCCTGTTCGCTTCATGCAGCAGGCAGTTAGTAGCCATCACGATGAGTGCATGCTATCACCATCGCAAACAGATTGTTTGGGTTTTATAAGGATTTTCAGTGTTCAGCAGCGGCAAAAATGAACATCATCCGAGCTGTAGTTCCGCGAGAAGAAATGAAGTGACGCTGAACACTTAACAACTGCTCCGTCACAGTTCAATAACGGCCATTCCACGCTGCTCGTACAGCATCAAGGCCCCGCCTGGCGCTGCCTGCACCGAACTCCTCTTCCGAGCGGCCATTCCAGCTGCCTGCACGAGCCTCCCACCGAGCCTGCCCGCCGCAATGACCGCTCGCCTCGTCTCAGGCCGGCAGCAGCGCTTCTGCAACTTCCCGTCCACTTGAGCCGTCCGTGCCGCCCGCCGCGGCGCCGCGCGGTACGCCGGCCCTCCGCCGCTCTGCCGCCCGCCGCGGCGCCGCGCGGTACGCCGGCCCTCCGCCGCTCTGCCACCCGCCGCGGCGCCGCGCGGTACGCCGGCCCTCCGCCGCTCTGCCGGCCCCGCGGCGCCCCGCGGTTACGCCGGCCCTCCGCCGCTCTGCCGCCCGCCGCGGCGCCCGCGGTACGCCGGCCCTCCGCCGCTCTGCCGGCCCCGCGGTGAGTGCTCGGGGCTCCGCGGCGCCCCGCGGCGCGCCCGGGGCGCCCTGCGACCGCCGGGTCAAGGAAGGTCAGTGTAATGCAGGGGCACGCACGCGCCTCCGCCGCCGGCCGTGCCGGGCCGCCCGGCGGCCGCATTACGGCGGGCGGTGGCGTGTCGCCCGCCGCCCCGACGGCCGTCCGTCTCTGATTTACGGTGATGGTCTGCGGTGCGGGTGGCTGTCGGAGCCCAGGCGATGCATGGAGATAAGCTGTCTCAAGTCTGCCGCCTGCTCCCACTTCTGCGATCTGCCACCGCGGCTCGCGAAACCCTAGCGTCTTCCTCGGCTGCAAAATACTTTGTTTTAAAGGCGAGAAAAACATGTGACGCCACGCGCCGCACGTTTCATGACTTGCTCGTCTGCGGGAGGGAGCTCCCTGGCCACGTCAGCCGTTCCTTCCGTCCGTGTGTGTTGTTTGCCCGTCCCCCGCTTCCGCGAAGGTTCTCCATTTACCACGATCACCGGTCTCGGCACGCCGTGCCCCTTCGGTCCGCGCTGTCGCGTGGTGATCCACATTACCCGTCCCGGATCGCGCCGCGTGCGTGACGTCACTGGTAATTGTCGGCTGCCAGCCGGCCTCACCAGCGAGGCGCGGACGTCACAGCGAGCCGGATATAGCGCCGGAGGGCTGACAACGGGGGACGGCCAGACACGCGCCAGCGGGGGCACGCCCATCGCTCACAGCTGGGTGCGTCACAGGAGGGGGCAACACTGAACGCGTCCTCAGCACTGCGAGCCTTGCTCTGCTTCGCTCTTTCTCTCTCCCTTGGGTGGACGGGTTGCGCGGAATAATGTTGCTAGTTGTAAAGCGGGATGTATCGTTCGTTAGCGAGTTAGGTCTGGGTCCTAGTACGCAGTTGGTGCCAACTCTTGCGGAAATGCCTCCATAGGAATAATTGGCGTGGGAGATCGCACACCTGATGGCCGTGACAGCTGGTTGCGCCGCTAAATGCCTGTTGACTGTTACCATATATTTTATCAGCCACCCTTCTTTCTCTTCCTCTTCCTTTCTCTTCCTCTTCCTTTCTGTTCCTTCTTCTTTCTTTCCTTTTCGTCTCTTCCCCCTCTCTTTCTCTGTCTGTCTGTCTGTCTGTCTGTCTGTCTGTCTGTCTGTCTGTCTGTCTGTCTGTCTGTCTGTCTGTCTCTTTCTCACTCCCTCTCTCTCTCTCTCTCTCTCTCTCTCTCTCTCTCTCTCTCTCTCTCTCTCTCTCTCCTCTTCTCTCTCTCTCTCTCTCTCCTCTCTCTCTCTCTCTCTCTCTCTATCTCTCTCTCCTCCTCCTCTCCTCTCTCTCTCTCTCTCTCTCTCTCTCTCTCTCTTCTCTCTCTCCTCTCTCTCTCTCTCTCTCTCTCTCTCTCTCTCTCTCTCTCTCTCTCTCTCTCTCTCTCTCTCTCTCTCTCTCTCTCTCTCCTCTCTCTCTCTCTCTCCTCTCTCTCTCTCTCTCTCTCTCTCTCTCTCTCTCTCTCTCTCTCTCTCTCTCTCTCTCTCTCTCTCTCTCTCTCTCTCTCTCTTTATCTCTCCCTTATCATCCCTCCTCTCATTCTCTTTTCCTCCTTCCCTTCCCTCCAGCACGCATCACCTCCCTGCACGCCCGCCACCCCTCCCACAATCCCTGGTGCCAGGTCGGGGCGCAGCGTGAAGGTCGCCGGCCGTGATAACTGTGTCAGCCCAACCAGCCAGATCCCAGCGCATAGGCAGCGGCCGCCGGCGCAGCACGTACGGCTGCCCAAGGTGAGCACGGCGCCAGCGCTGCCTGCATGTCACCGATGGTGCTCACTGCCGCGAGGTGAGCGCACGGTCGTCGGCAGCCCCTCCCCTCCCCGTCCGTCTGTCCAGGACGTCGGTGCTTAGCTGGCGCTGGTCTGCTGCGGAGACCGTCTGGACCACCTTGCACCCGGCGCGAACCGCTGACCAGCTCGAGCCACACTTATCTCCGGCGCCCGCTGTCTGCTGCCCGTGACCACTGACTCAACAAGCCTGGCCTGCGCCCCAATCACGTTTCCCTATCATGTGAGTTTGCCTGCGATAGTATACCCTGAGGGCTCACTAAACTCATGTTTTTTCCAGAAGTGTTTACGTATCAGTTTCTGCAGCGAGCTTGAGACCGGCCCCAGACTTCTGTGAGGGACAAACGCTGTGAGACCCAGAGCCGCCACGTTATCGGCTGCGCCCGTCCGTCTCCGTGCCCCGTGACCGGGGCCCTGACCAGGCTGGGGACGTCAAACGACGCCTTGCTGCCCGGTGACCGGGGCCCCGACCAGGCTGGAGACGTCAAACGACGCCTTGCATTTCGGCACGGTTTGAACTGCGCTGTGGCCATGCGCTCTTCACAGCAGGGCGGGCCGTCTGATGTGTGGTATGTGAGGCTACCGAGCGGTTTGTGGTCAGGAAGCGGCCTCCGTGCGGGGAGAACAGTGGTGCGGTGGTGACGTCAGCGGGTAGCTTGGAAGCCCTGGCCGGGGCTGGACAGATCATGGTGACGTCAGTGGCGGCTTGAAGTCATGCGGACCGGCACGTATCCGCACCGATAAGATCGCGCTGTGGAGTGATGTGATGACCACACAATGATATCACAAGAATCGAAACTGCGAAACACAACACTTAGCCCGAGGTGACAACGATCAGTCACGCAGTATAACCACCAAAATAGGCGCGTTGCTGCATGATATGCCTCTGCGGCGAGACCCGCCAGCATTGACCCTGCTCGGTCGCCACACTGGCGCGGGGTGGGCTCGACACACCTGCGGCTCTGGAGGAGGCAGGCGGCGACAGTGGTCCGATGTGCTACCTGAGGTGGTCAAAGGTATGTCAGCCTCCTGTGTTCCGGGCCTCCAGTGCCCCGGTCCTTGTCTAGACGGAGAAGGGCGGCCGGAACCGGGACCACTCTCCCCACTGGTCAGGACCGCTCACCACGGAACGGGACCGCCCACCACTGACCTGGACCGCTCTCCTCTGACCGGGATTGCTCTCTGACCGGAGCCGCTCTCCTCTGACCGGGACTGCTTTCCTTTGACCGGGATCGCTCTCCTCTGACCAGGACCACTCTCTGGCCGGAACCACTTTCTTCTGACCGGGACTGCTCTCTGATCGGGATCGCTCTCTGACCGAAGCCGCTCTCCTGTGACCGGGACCGCTCCCTGACCGAGCGCGGTATTCGCTAATCCCCGTTAGCAGACTGCTCGGCCGTCAGTGCGGCAGCGGCGGCACCATTGTGCGGCCCCGGCCGATACACATCAGCGTCGCCGGCCTGCTCCCGTTTGCCCCTGGAGCCCTTATCGCGCGTTGGTGTCACTCGCCCGT